ACACGGTTTGTGTCCACCTACCATGTTTGCAAGACCTGCTCAGCTGGTTCTGAAGCTCATGCACGCTGTTCTTGCTGTGAGCGTCGTCCCGCGCGAGGCGCGCAGTGTGGAAATCAACGCGATTCGTTAAAACACGTGATAGTACTCGCACACTACACGAAAGAAAAAATATGGTTGGAGATAGCACTCGTAGAACCCATATTCTTTAGGAAAAAAGACAGTCCTTCCATTCACCTGGCTGTAGGACGCTCCCTCTTCCTAACGCCAGGTGGCCGAGGTGGGGTTAGAAGAAAATCTGTCTAAACAGCCCCGTGCAAGAAGGAGATGTGAGCATCCAGCTGGGTTCGTGACGATCACTTCGGAATGCCAGAGGAGGCAAGAAACCCTACCATGTGCAGATGCGAGTACCGCAAGGCAAGTGGGAAGAAAGAGGGGCAGCTCCCGATGGGACCACGAAACGTGTGAGGGGGGTGCCCGAATCGGGTGCGGGCACGCCATGCGAACCCTGCCACTGGGGCCTTCGGTGAGCTCCCTGTGGGCCCACGAAGCGCGTTAGGGGTGTGCCGACATCTGCCACTGAAGCCTTCGGCGGAGCTCCACGTGGGGAAACGAAACGTGTGAAGAATGCGTGGGCGCGATGGCGCCATGCGGACCCTGCCACTGGTGCCCTAGGTGGAGCTCTCTACGGGACCACGAAACGTGTGAGGGGTGTGCCGGAAAGGGTGCGGTGGCGCCATGCAGACCCTGCCTCTGGGGCCTTCGGTGGAGCCCCGTACGGGGACACGAAACATGTGAGGGCTGTGCCGAAATTGGTGCGTTGACACCATGCCTCTGCCAACGGGGCCTTCGGTGGGATCCTGTTATGGGACCACGCAACGCTTGAGGGGTGTGCCGAAATGGCTGACATGCGGAGGGCAGAGGCAGGGATCGGAGAAGGGAGGAGGGGGAGGAGGAAGAAGTGAGGAACGCAGGGCGCTGTCTCGTCAAAACGAGGACCCACCACCACAGGATGGTTGGGAAAAACATAAGTTCCCGAAACTCGAGGATCGAGTGAGGGAGGAAGGGGCTTCAGTGACCTGTGGTGCGCGGTTTTAGGAGGCCATGGGAGGCCCAAATCCCACGCCGGCCAGTGCTGGGATGACCCCTGTGAGCCCGCGCCACGGGCCATTCCGGCGAAAGGTCCCTCTTACGCGTAACTGGGCCACGGCTGGACGTGGCTCGGCAAACTGGCCAGGGTTTCGGGGACTGCGTCTGAGCAGATTTATGTATATATATATATTATGTATATACATATTGCTTATGTGTTATTGATATGTGTTGCTGTTTTTGACGTTATGCTTTGTATGTTTGCTGTATGTTTGCTACCGCGTCTAAGCGGATGTTGCTCGGCGCCGCGGCGTCAGCCTCGCCGCCGTGGCGCCGGCGTGGCTTCTGAGAGCCAGCCCCAGTCGGCGCAGCGTGCCTGGGGGAGAACGATACCGCCTCAAATGAGACGCAGAAGGGTGTACCAGCACTGCGTGTCCCCCTTGGAGGCGTGCGTCCGACCCGAAGAGTGTAGTACAAACATCTTGCAGCAAATCGCTTCCCGAGCGGTATGGCCAGAAAGCGCCCACCGCCGAGCATACACTATAAGATTTCTCGGCGCGCGCGTCGCCCCTTTGGGGGCGACGCGCACATATTATTAGCATGTTTGGGCGACGCCGACCAGGCATACTCGGGCCGTGAAAACGTCACGACGGGAGATGTTCAGCAATTGCAGGCCTCTGGGGACCCTCGCAGGGCCCCCAGGACTAACCGTGTGCCCCAGATAATCATCATCCCGGAATGATAAAGTTCGGGGGTCTGGCGGGGATAATCAACGATTTCCCCGGGGAAGGTGACGTTAGTTCGAAGTTATGATGATGATGATGATGATGATGATGATGATGATGATGATGATGATGATGATGATGATGATGATGATGATGATGATGATGATGATGATGATGAAAAACTGGCCCTGGGGATGAAAAACTGGCCCTGGGGAAAGGATCGGAACTTCCAGAGACAACGCGTCGAATAAAACCAAGCCATCTCGGATGCCTGGGGCTGCTCCCCGGGCTGCTCCCCTGGGGGTGCGCTCGGTCTGGGATGCCGAGGCGAATCCTGCCGGGGCGACGGTCCCAAGAGGGTGAGAACAAGGGAAGCGTTAAGTCGGGCCTGTCCCTCTACAGGGGGAATCATCAAAAGTAGTCAAAAATTAGTCTGCGGACGATTTGTTTGCCTATTGTTGAACATGTTTGGGGCATTTTGGGGGTATGTTTAATTTTTCGCCCAAAGTCACCATGTGGGGGGACAGGCCCGACCTAAGGGAAGGGCATCGACACCTGCACGCGTTTCTGCTCTGAGCGCTGGCACCTTTTCCGGCACCTCGGCGCAGACGCCAGCCCGCGCGGGCGGTATTATACCGCACGCACGCGGCCGTCCACAGCGCGGCCGGACGGGCTGGCGCTCTGGAAAAAATGATGCGGTCGTGCAGCCAGAAACAAGCTACGCATCAAAACACAGGTCACGTGCCTGGGACCCCTTCGGGTCGTGGAAAAATCACGACGTCGGGGGTCTGCGGGCAGGTACACAAGGGCTCTGACTCTGGGGCGCAGCTCCAGAAACTGGAGTGCTTCAAAAAGAAAGAAAAATGCGGCCGACTGCTACCTACGTGGAACGAGATGCGGGCAGCATGCCTCCTCTTTTTCCTCTCCCTGTCCCTCTTCTCCTCGTCCTCCGCAATGAGGAAGCGCAGATCTGCGATACGTGGGGAGGAGGATGTGGAGGAGGAGGAGTGTGGTGGGGAGGGAGGAAGGGAGGCAGGGAGGGAGGTAGGGGAAGGAAGGAAGGAAGGAGGAGGAGGAGGAGGAGGAGGAGGTCGTCCTCCTCCACTGTCCCTGCTTCCTCCTCGTTATCCCATCCTCGTTATCCGCGTTTTCCTCCTCCTCCTCCTCCTCCTCCTCCTCCTCCTCCTCCTCCTCCTCCCAAACATCACCAACACCGTCGCCATCGCTGTCAACATCGCCACACCATCCTCCTCCCCCTCACGATCACCATCACTGCCACTGTAGCTTATCTACCACCGCCACCACCACCACCACTAGCACCTCCATCATCACCATCAACGTTACAAACACAATCAGATTTGACGTTGCTGCCGTGGTGGCGGGCGCCAGGGATCGCCGCCATGCTGACGGGCGACTGGAAAGACACAGAGCGAACGCGCAGCTGCTCTCGTTAGTTCCCAACGGAATGTTCATGTGCTAGCCACAAGACTCAGTCACATCAGTCAGACTAGTATCACCATCAGCCAGCATCAGTCACCATCGCTACAATCATCGTAATCATAATCTCCACCATCATCATCGTCGTCATTGCCACCGTCGTCATCATAACCATCACTGGCATGGTCGTCACCGTCGCCGCCGACCGTCAGCATCAGCAAAACCATCCCCATCACCACCATCAGCCTCACCATCATCACCGTCACCATCGCCAGCGTCTCGTCGTCGTCCGTCGTCACCATCAGCACCTCGCCCTCGCCACCGTCGTCGTCGCCATCGCCATCGCCATCGTCGTCGCCACCATCGTCATCGACACCCTCGCGGGCCATCGCCGCCCCTCCCTCTCGCGCCCGAGCGGCGGCCTGCGAGGCCTCCTCACTTGACCTTCAGCCGCGCCGCCGCCACGTGCCTCCCCCGCGGCGCCACGGCGGGCGGCCCCCCCCCCCGCGCGGGCGGCGGCCGGGGGGGCCCGCGGCAGCCCCCACCCTGGCCACCCACCAAACCACCCCAACCCAACACGAAGGCCTCAAGTTGCCCTCCATTTCCAGCGGGGGGTCGGGGAGCATCGAGAAAACACGTATGGAGCCCATACCCCCCCCCCAACCCGAAATTCGGGTCTTCGGGTTGGGTTGGGGTGGTCTGGTAGGTAGTCACAACCGAAACTCGGCGGCGAGCGCGGGGGGGAATCGGCGGTGGACAAACCTTGGAGGCCTGGAAGTGGGCTTCAACACCAAGACAGGGGGTTGCCTCCACAGGGGCAAGATGATCCTAGATTTCGGTGTTTTGGTGGTAATATTTCGGTCACCTTGGAAGCCAGAATATAACCACCATCGCCGAGATCGGGATCTTCTTCCCTCGGTGGAGGCACACCGCCGATATTGGTGTTGGTGTCAATCTCGAGGCCTGCGAAAACCTCCCTTTAGCAAACCACCCTTTAGTGAGAACGGCCTAGGACCGAAACCGACGGACCTGAGGACCCGCAAAAATGACGGCCGCGACGCCCTCCCGCGAACCGAAAACGGCCAATTCGCTAATCGACGTGTCAGGGTAGGAGGTCTATCAACCTCCGAGGGAAGCGAGAAGCAGAAGGAAGGCGACGGGGCTCCTCAGAAGGCCCCTGGCCTTCTGAGAAGTCTTTGGTGCCTTCGGGGAAGGCCCGGAAAACTCCTCAGAGGCCCAGGGGACTTTCAAGCCTTCTGAGAAGGCCCGCCCCTTCTCACTCTCTCCCCGCGCTCGCCGCCAGGAGGAGGAGGAGGAGGAGGAGGAGGAGGAGGAGGAGGAGGAGGAGGAGGAGGAGGAGAAGGAGGAGGAGGAGGAGGAGGAGGAGGAGGAGGAGGAGCAGGAGGAGCAGGAGGAGCAGGAGGAGCAGGAGGGAGACGCGCGAGCAGAGCTCCATGAAAGACCCTGCGCAGCGCTGTTGCCACCCGCATCCGGCCTCCAGGCAGTCGGAGGCACGCGAGAGCACGGGTCGCCCGCCCGCGGGGTCCTCGCCATCGTCTCGGAGGCTTCCCCGCACGCCTCCGGGGGGCTCCAGCGGCCACGGCTGGGCGCAGCTCGAAGAACTGGTCGGACCGGACCCCAGGAGGGGCCTGGGGACTCCCTCGCCCTTCGCCCGGAGGGACATAAAACCACGCGCACACACACACAGAGACACACACACAGACACACACAACTGCGTGAGCAATGTTTTCCAGCGTGGACCCAAACAGTGGGTTCTCGCCCTCTCGATGTTCTTTCCGTGGTGCAACACTGTGGTGCAATTCACGTCGCAGGCATCCGCGCGTGAGCACCTCCAGTGCCCGCGCCAACCTCCAACCCAGACGTCCACAAGTTGTTGGCTAAACTCAACTGGCGCAACGACGTGAGGACCGTTATCATGCAGACTCGTGACTCGGGTGTGCGAGCGCTGATGATCGTGATGGCGATGACGATGGTGATGGCGGTGATGATGATGACGACGATGACGACGGTGATGATGGTGATGATGATGATGATGATGATGATGATGATGATGATGATGATGCTGATGATGATGGTGGTGGTGGTGACGATGATGATGATGATGACGATGATGATGATGATGATGCTGGTGGTGGTGGTGATGACGATGATGATGATGATGATGCTGGTGGTGGTGGTGATGACAATGATCATGATGAAGATGATGATGCTGATGATGATGGTGGTGGTGGTGATGGTGGTGATGATGATGATGATGCTGGTGGTGGTGGTGATGACGATGCTGATGATGATGATGATGCTGGTGGTGGTGGTGGCGCTGCCACCGAGGGCTATGACAAAGACAATGACGATTACGATGGTGATGATGATGACGACAGTGAAGATGATGACGACGACGATAGTAATGGTGATGGTAATGGAGATGCTGGTGATGACGATGGCAAGTATAATGCTGGCGATGATGACAACCATGGCGATGATGAGGATGGTGAGAACAATGAGGAAGTGCAAGCGTGAGGAAAGTCCGAAATTTTGACGGACGTATCATTGCAAAACCAGCTGTTTGGTTTCACACCTCTGCCTGGACTTGCGTAAAAAATGTGTTGGATGGATTTCGACGTGCGCACGCGGAGACTCGTCCGTGGCCCGCATGTGGTTATTTGACAGAGTTGGTGGGCGCGCGACGCTTGTCTTCGACATGAGCTCACCTGCGGCCCGCATTGTACCATTTGACAGAATGGCCAAACACCGATGGCTTCTCTCTTGAATTCCGCGAGTGCGCGGGTGCTGACGCATCTTCCCGAAGAAGAGGCGACGGCTGTAGTAGTCCTTTGGGCAGCTACAACCTGCAGTTGCTTCAGACACTCAAGCAAAACTTCAAATGATCTTGACATGCGCGCAGAAGCGCGCGCGAGCGACCCGCAGTGTTATTTTACATGGATGAGGGGGGGACCGATACCAGCCTTAGGGGGCCACATGCGAACCCTACCCCTACCCCCCACGATTTCTGAGGGGGAGGGTGGGGTTCACTTCGCTCGAGAGCTCCCGAACGAAGTGAACCCCACCCTCCCCCTCAGAAATCGTGGTGGGTAGGGGTAGGGTTCGCATGTGGTCTCCTAAGCCTGGCAAGCACTGTGTTACAATACAGTTCACATGAACGGTTGAGACACTTTTCATTCAGAGCTCCTCCCCCCTTCCCCAAATTCCACATTTGAATCTCCAAGCTCGCCAGCCCGAGGTGAATCGAGCCAGGTCGCAATCGAGGTCGTCAATGATTCGAAAGGAAGCCCCTTCCCTTTTGATCCCTTCCACGCCCGTGGAGGGGGGTTCTGGGGAGTCCTGGAAGGGTGTCCCGGGTCAGAATACGGTCCCTCCCCCCCTCCCTTTCCGGGCCGCCTTCGAGCAAATTTCGCCCCCTTTCGCCAATTCGGGTCCAAGACGGTCCAAGAGAGGCCTGCAACAATCCAAGAGCGCTCCGAGACAGCCCCAGGTGCTCTCGAGACGGCGCCAGCAGGCCCCCCAAAGATCCCCAAGAACCCCCTCTTACGCCCCCAAGACGCTCCCAAGAGGCCCCAACGAGCCTCTACGAGCCCGCGATCTTCCTGGGGCCCTCCTCCGGATCTCCCGTCAGGGTCAGCGGAGCCGGCCGTGAGGCCTGTACAACATGAAATGACAATACGGCGAGAAGCGGATGCTGGGGCGGTAGATTATGAATCTTCTCGGGTACAGGAAAATGTTTCATACATCATATGAGGTAATAGCCGGCCGCCCTGCGGTTGATCGGGAGTTTCTTTGTATGGAAGAAGGGGCGTGCGCTTCTCGGCGAAAGGAAAATGATCGAGATGAGAATGAGCGCGAGGATCAGGAGGGCGAGACTCGCGAGGGGAAGGACCAGGAGAGTGAGGATCAGGGGGGGCGGTCGGCGGGGCCGTCGCCTCGCGCGCCGGGGGTCAGGAGGATCTGAGCTCCACAGAAGCTCCCTCAAACAAGCTATGGTTGCAAGCTATGCGGAGCCTTGCCGTCGCTCGGACGTCCATTTCCCGTGCATTTTCCGGTTTCGTGCGTGTTTTCTTTTTGCTGGATGGTCCAGGATGGTCCTCGATGGTTCTCGCTGAGAAAAATGCACACGTCCGAGCGATGCCAAGGAGCATTCTATGGGGTATAAGCCATGCGCGCATCATCCTGAAACGCGAGCCAGCCCACGAGGCGCCCACGAGGCGCCCTCGGACAGGAACCAAACAGAAACCCAGGCAGCCCGGCCAGCAAAGCGGCGCGCCCACGGGGCGCCCACGGGAGGGGGCGCCGGGGGAAGGCCGGGGAAACCCAGCCAGCGCGCAAGACGCACAAGAGGCGCCCACGGGCGGGCACCAGGCTCAGGTCGGGCATGTCCCCCATACAGGCCGACTGTGGACGAAGAATGGAAAATAACTCGAACAGGCTCAAAAAATATCAAAAATAGTCGAAAAAACATCCCCAGGCTATTTTTTGACTATGTTTAAAAATTCCTCCTGTAGAGGGACACGCCCGACTAAACACCAGGCGAAAACACGGGGAAAACCCACCCAACTGCTACAGAGCGAAGTAGGAACCCGTTGGTGCAATCGCTGCTTGGGGAAGAGGTCTTGGGAGCCAAGCGCCTGCACGGCGCATCGGCGAGCAAGACGACATCAAGCTCTGCAGACTTCTGATCAACATACACACGCGAATGCATGAGGAGGAGGAGGAGGAGGAGGAGGAGGAGGAGAAGGAGCCGGGAGGAGGAGGAGGTGGAGGAGATGGAGGAGGAGGAGGAGGAGGAGGAGATGGAGGGAGAAAATGAAGGAGGAGGAAGAGGATGAAGAGGAGCGACGAGGAGGAGGAGGAGGAGGAGGAGGAGGCGGAGGAGGAGGAGGAGGAGGAGCAACGAGGAGGAGGAGGGAGAGGAGGAGGAGAAGGAGGAGCGAGGGAGGGGGGAGGGCGAGGTGGGAGAAGGCGGAGGGCCGGAGGGAGCGAGAGCGAGATGCTTCCGCCTACTGCTGAGAAGGCCTCCCACGTTCTCTCTTTACAACTAAGGCGAACCCAGGACGAGGATAAAATCGGGTGAGAATAAATCGGGAATCCCTGAGATCCGGCGGATCTGAAGGATGCATCGGGCGCCGCGGCCCTCTCAGAGCGTTCCGGAACGCTCTGAGAGCGTTCTGGAACGCTCTGGAACGCATTTACCCTCGTCCTAGCCCCGTCTGGACAACCCACCTTCGCGGCTCAAGAGAGCGAGCTAGGATCGCAGGTTAACGCCCTAAGCAGGCTATCGTGCGGAGGGGCGGCAACGGCAGTGTACAGCGTCGCTCGCTTGCCGGCCAAAGGTACCACTTAAGGGCGAGTGTCTAGCCTTTTCGAAAACCTCGTTGTTCGATACTCTCGAAATCAAGGGGGGCGGAATCGACTGAATTCTTCGAAGTCACCGGGCAGGGGCACCAGGTTTGGGGAAAAAGGCTGACGCATAAACAAACCTCGCAAGCCTTCCCAGGAAACCAAAAAACAAGCATACGCAGATGCGGTCAGGAACTTCGGCCCCGAGCGTCCCCGCGGCGGCCCCTGCGACACGCTGCGCCTCGCAAGCTGACAGCATGCCGCTCTGATTCCTGGGGCGGGAGGACAGGGAGGAGATCGGGACGCTGGGGCTTGGGGACTGGGACGTGATCATGCGGGGCAACGATAGGGGGGGATGGGCATAGGGGGGGGCAATCCATCGACCTCTGGAGTCGGCGATACATGGTCGATAGATCGGCGATAGGCCCACGATAGTGAATCCGCACCTTCCTGGGCGGGGTGGGGCTATCGGGCCCCATATCGGCGATCAATGGGCGTTTGGGGGTCGATGCACCCCCCCCTATGCTCAGGTGGAGCATGTCCTCCTACGTGGGGATTTTGGAGGAAAATTTAAAATAATCAAACAATGCTCAAAAGTTCCCTAAAAAAATCGAAAAATCGTCCCCAGACTATTGTTTGACTATTTTTGAATATTCCTCCTGTAGAGGGACAGGCCCGACTTGACCCTATGCCTATCGCCCCCTATCGTTGCCCCCGAGATCAGCGTGTCGCGCCGAAGGGCGGTGGGCCAGGACCAGCGGCTTGCTCACGCTGAGCAAACGCGCCCGACCGCAGACAGAAGTGCTCTTGGCGGCCTGCGCGGACCTCTCGGGTCGGCTGCGGGGGAGGACTGACCCCGGGGAGGGGGAGGGGGGGGCAACGTCGACCTGGAGTCGGCGATGCCTCGCAGATAGATCGTCGACAGGCCCCCGACAGCGAATCCGCACGCTCTTCGGCGGGGCGGGGGCATCGGGCCCCTACTGGCGATCAGTGACGAACCCAACAACACACACCCATACCCATAGGGGGATCGGAGAGGGCTATGGGTGCGTGTTGTCGGATGGGGGTCCCCGCTCGAACGGGAGCGTTCCCCAGGGTCCGACAACCCGCACCCATACCCATAGCCAGTCCTCCTCCCAACGACCCCCCTATGGGTATGGGTGTGTGTGTGTTGTTCGTTCGTCATATCAGTGGGCGACGGGAGGCAGACGCATCCCCCCCGGAGCCCGTTCCCCCGCCTAACGTTGCCCCCTCGGTCTTAGAGGCCACGAGACCCGGCTCTCCGGCGGCCGTGCGGAGCGATCCCAGGGCACCCCCGAAGCGCTCCCGCCGAGGCGCAGCCGCTGGAAGGCACTCCGAGGCTGGAAACCCGCCAAGTCCGAAAACCTCGAACCCCGAACCCAAAACTTACCAGCCTGGGGCAGATCCCTACCCCTATGCTGGGCATCTCCTCATCACGATGCCAATCTTAGGGATTCCCTTATTTTTTGAGGCCGCATCCCTAAGATTGTCGTCGCTTTTTGGCGTGTCAGTCTTAGGGATAGGGATCAGTTCGAGGCTGGTAAAAAACTTCCCCCCCCCCCTGTGAGCCTGCCCCCCCCCCCACCGACGGTCGGGAACTGCTGCTGTGCAGCCACGGCGGCCCCTGCGACCAGGCTGTCCCTGGCAGGCGCGCCGCGGGTCGCTCCGAGCCGCGGGGCGGGAGGCGTGGAGGAGCTCGGAACGCTGACGCCTGAGGACCGGGACGTGGATAGCGTGTCGCGCCGAAGCGACACACAATCCACGTCCCGCTAAGGGGTCTTGTCTGACAAACGCTTCGCGGACCGCACGGAACGTCCGGACCTTCCGTGTGGTCCGCACAGCGAACGAGCCACAAGGTTTCGCGGACCACAGGGTTCCCCACGACGAACGACCCAGTGGGCCAGGACTGGCGGAGCGACAAGCTGTAACCGACCGAAACATTGCCCCTCCTCCTCCTGGGCAAGGCATCGCGGAGAAACGCGCTCATTTCTGTCCCCAGGCACGCGCTCGCTCGCTCGCGCGCGCTCGCGCGCACCCATGCACCCACGGCGGCGCGACGCGTTGCGGTGCGGCGAAGGGCGCCCCGTCGGCTGCCCCAAGGGGGAGGAGGAGGAGGACCACTGCGAACCCAAGATGCACCAACGATGTTGGAATACACCGTCCCTCCAAGCTCCCTCTTCATAGGCCCCTGCAACGGTTCATTTTTACTGAGGGAACTGCCTCGTTGGAAGTTTGTGAAGACCCTGAAGCATGCCAAGACATCGCTCTCGGGATTCCAACGCCACGGATCAACCTGACCGTTGCGTCTTGACCATCCTGAATCGTGCCAGAACGCCATTCCTGGGACTTGAACACCGCGAATCGACATAACCTGTGCACCCTCATAAGCCTGAATCCTTCCAAAGCACCGTTTCTGGTACGCTGATCATGGGCATCCGTGAAACTATCTGAAGACGAATGTGCGCGGCGTCAAAGCGAGAGCCACATTTTGAAAAGGAACCGCCCCTAATCCGTGAAACTCTTGCAATTCGTTTAAAGGAATGCGCGCGGCGCCAAGACGAAAGCCACAATTTAAAAAGGAACCGCCTTCAATCCGTGAAACTCTTGCACATGTTTAAAACGAATGTGCGCGGCGCTAATACGAGAGCCACATTGTGAAAACGACTCGCCCTCAATCCGTACAACTAATCCAACTTTTAAAACGGATATACGAGGCGCTAACGCGAGAACCGCATTTTTGAAAACGACCCGCCATCCATCTGTGAAACTGTTGCTAATTTTGAAGCGAAACGCCCAGCCCGCTCCAAAAACTGGCTTCGAGGTGCGACAGGGAGAAGTTATGTATAAGGAAAGGAATGGAGGAGGAGGAGGAGGAGGAGGAGGAGGCGGAGGAGAAGGAGGACCAGTGCAAACCCAAGACTCATCAACGATGTTGAAGTAAACCCTCCCTCCAAAATCCCTCGTCGTAGGCCTCTACAAAAAATCATTTCCACTGACGGAATTGCCCCGTTCAGGGACAACCGTGAGGACCTCTTGAAGCGTGCCAAAAACACCGTTCTCAGGATTTCAACGCCGCGAGTTGACCTGACCGTTACGTCTTGAAACTCTTGCAATTTGTCAGATCGAATGCGCGCGGCGCTAAGGCGAGAGCCACATTTTGAAAACGGGCCGCCCTCAATCCGTGAAACTCTTGCATGCTGGCTAGTTCGACTGTGCGCGGCGCTAAGGCGAGAACCACATTTTGAAAACGACCCGCCCTCAATCCACGAAACTCTCGCAATTATGTTCAACGAATGCGCGCGGTGTTAAGGCGAGAGCCGCATGTTGAAGGACCCGCCCTCAACCCGTGAAGCTCTTGTATATGTTTAAAGCGAATGCGCGCGGCGCTGAGGCGAGAGCCGTATCTTCAAAACGACCCGACCTCAATCCGTGAAACTTTGGAATAGTTTAGAACGAATGTGCGCGGTGCTGAGGCGAGAGCCACATTTTGGAAGCGACCCGCCCCCCATCCGTGAAACTGTTGTCAGTGCTTTTAACATCTGGGTCATAAACGGCGAGGAAAACTCAGGCGAAACGCCCGGCCCGCCCTTTCGACTGGCCTCGGGGTGCGACAGGGAGGAGTTATCTAGAAGGAAAAGGAATGGACAAGGAGGAGGAGGAGGAGGAGGAGAAGGAGGAGGAGGAGAAAGAGCAGGAGGAGGAGCGAGGCGAGGGAAATGGAGGAGGAGGAGGAGGAGGAGGAGAAGGAGGAGGAGGAGGAGGAGGAGGAGCGAGGAGGAGCGAGGAAGAGCGAGGAGGAGCGAGGAGGAGGAGAAGGAGGAGGAGGAGGAGGAGGAGGAGGAGAAGCGAGGAGGAGGAGGAGGAGGAGGAGGTAGGAGAAGCAAGGAGGAGGAGGAGGAGGGATGGAGGAGGAGCGAGGAGGAGCGACGCTTCGCTGAGAACGAACCCGAAGGGGGAAGGGGGCCATACTTCGCCGAGAACGACGTAAGCGATTGAGCCAGGAGGGCTGTGGCACCCCAAGGATGGCAGCAGAGGAGGCAGGGAGGGAGGAGGCGGACGGCCGAGCACAGGGGGGGGGAGGAGCTGGGCCCGGCGGCAGCAGCCAGGGGGCTGTGAGCAGGAGGGGGGCCCAGACATCCAGCTGCTCCAAATGTTTGCATGCGGCGCCCCCGCCCGGAGGTCTGGACCATCCCCTGGGGCCGGCTTGCCGTTCCGAGTCGTTTCTTGACGGCCCCGAGGCCCGGCGAGGGCCCCTGGAGGCGGAAAGCGGCCAAAAACCGGACGCTCCGATTTTTTCGGAGCGCCAGATCTCTGGGAGGTGAGGACGTGGTGAAGCTGGGTAGCGACGCGGAGGGGGGGGGGAGGCAGGGGGCAGGGGGCAGGAAAAGGAGGAGGAGGAGGAGGAGGAGGAGGAGGCAGCAGCGAGGCAGTAACCAGGGACGCGGTCCAGGCCCCAGTCCGGCTTGAAGACCTTCTGGGCACAGAGCTCCGCAACATGGGGTGGTGGTCATCGTCATCAGCACGTGGATGGCTCGACGGGGCTCTCCTTAGTCAGGGCATGACGTTGACGGAGGTCCCCAGCGCTCTTCAGTTCGCCGCGGGGGAGGCGAAAGAGACCGTCGCCTCCTGGACCCTGCAAGCCCAAGATGATAATCAGCGCTTGGCCGGATGGCGTCTGTTCCTGCTGATCGGTCGTTTCCTCTTTGCCGAGTCGTACGCGGACACCGAGGCTGAGCAGAGCAAGCCAGCTGCCGAGCGCGCGAGCGAGCGGCTCGCCCCCTTCCGGGCGGGCGAGCGGGACATGCTCTGCCGGCTGACCGCCGTGCACCAGAAGACCCGCAGCAGCTCTGGCCAACTCACTCGCACTGGTCGTCGTGTCCTCCAGCTTCTGCGCGGCGGGGAGCTGGGCAAAGCATGCCAGGCGGCATAGGGTGCGGCGGCGGCGCGCGACGTGGCCACCACGCGGTGCGCTCTCCACGAACAGCCGGGGCTGCCTCCTGGAACTCTCGCCGTGGACGGCTGGGACGAGGTCGTGGACCTGGTCCCCGCGGAGTCCGTGGCCGCGGCCAGGGTCCTAGCAGCGGACATGGAGCAGACTCTCCAGGCGTCCTGGGCTCGAGTGCCGCGGGGAAGCGGCCCTGGCCCCATGGGATACCAGTATGAGCACTGGATCCCGGTGGGGCGGAGCGCAGACAGCGGCCCGGCCACCGCCCGCATGCTGTCTCTGGTCGCCACCGGGAGCATTCCTGCCGAGGCTGGCAATCTGTTGTTCGCAGCCAAGCTGTCGGGTCTAGCCAAGGCCAACGATGGCACTCGCGTGGTGGCCAGTGGTGGCGTGCCGCGGCGACTGCTCGCGAAGGCGGCGTGCTCAGCCCGTAGCGACGAGACTCGCCAGGCAGTCGGGAGGGACCGCGCAGTTCGGCGTGGGCGTGTCGGCCCGGGCCGAGGCTTTGCAGAAGGTGGTGACCGCCGCGGCGGAGGAGTTGCCCGACTTCGTGTTTCTCCATCGACGTGAGGTCGGCCTTCCGGAGGTGCCGGCGCCGGGAGCTCTTCCGAGCCTTGCGCCGGCGGTGCCCGGACTTGGAGCTCCTTGCCCGCACGATGTGTGACCGCCCTGGGCAGCACGCCCTCCGAAGCAGCGGGGAGCCGAGCGAGGTGGCACGACGAGTCTTGAGCCTCGACGAGGGCTGCCCTCTGTCGCCGGCCTTTGTCGCCATCCTTTCGGCAGACCCACTGAGCGCCTTGCGCCAGGGGCTCCAGGTATTGTACGCCAAGGCGGAGGCCGTGGCACACCTCGACGACATTCATTTCTGGGTCCCCCCCGAGCACCTCGAGCAGGCCATGCAACTGGCCACCCAAGCAGTCGGCAACATCGGTCTGGAACCCAACGTGACCAAGACGAAGCTGTGGCTCCCCTCTGGCGCGCCTGCCGAGATTCCCGCCGCCCTGCTGCAGCGCGTCGTTCCGGAGCAGCCCTGCCTCGGGAGCTCGATATTGTTCATGAGGATCCGGCGTCTCCAGGTGGAGGGAGACGACTGACGCGACGTACCTGCTGGAGCGCAGGGGTCTGCCCAGGTGGATCGCGCCCAGACCCGGCTTGCTGCCTTCGCCGCCCGCTTGGACACGCTCATTCGCCATGGCTTGGCTAAGCACGACGCTTGGATAATGTTCGCCAACCTCGTGAACGACGCTGTCACCTACGCTCAAAGAGCCCAGGCCAGCGACCCTCAGCAGTGGCGGCGTTATGACGACCAGGTCGCCGCGGTGGTGGAGAACAAGCTAGGCGGGCCGCTGTCTGACCTCTCGCGCAAGGTCCTCTTCGTGCCCGCCAAGCTCGGCGGCGGCGGCCTGGCGAGCGCGGAGTCTCGGACGGACGCTGTCTTCCTCGGCTCCTGGGCCCAGGTAGAGGCCGTGGTATGCCGCCTGCAGCGCGTTGAGACGCCGGCGCAGTCTGAGCAGGCCGCCCCGATATTGCACCAAGCCGTGCGCGCGGCCACGGAGCGCGTGCAGGCGGCGGGCGGGTCGGTGGCCGTGCGGACCCAGAAAACCATCTCCCAGTCTCTGGTGGCCAGGCGGAACCGAGACCTCAGAGCGGGGTTGGAAGACGACGCAGCAGTGCTCCTCCACTCGCAGGAAGCAGAAGGCGGAGCGTGGCTCCGAGCGACGCGTCGCGACAAGGACGTGTTGTCGGACGACGCGTTTTGCGTCTGCCTGCGGCGGCGCCTCCTCTTCGAGGATCTGGCCGCGCAGGGGGCGTTGCCGTGCATGCTCCGGGCTCGCGGAGCTCGCCGAACAGAACAGAACAGCGCGCGCCCCGGTGGGACCGCCCGGGCGAACACGGCATGGCACGGGCGGTGCTCGACGTGGTCGTGCACAGAGATCCCGCAGGCCCCGGGCCATTGTATATAGACGTGTCGGTCGCGGAGGTGACGTCGGCCGACGCCAGCGCCGCGCGGGCCCGCGCCCGCCGCCCAGGCCTGGCAGCTGCTGATCGGGAGCGCACAAAACACACGCGTTATCCCGGTGCAGAGCTGCTGCCGGCCGTCCTCGAAGGAGGAGGGCGGTGGGGGCGCGAATTCCGTCTGTGGGCGCCCTCGGTCTTGCCCGAGGGCCCCCGGCGAGCAGAGCAGCTCGCCGAACTCCGCTGCCGGCTGGCCGTAGCGCTGCAGCGGGGCGTCGCCGCTTCGCTGCTGGCTGCCAGCGCCGGGGCCGCACGCCCATGGCAGTTGGGCTGGTGCGCAATCCGCCGGTGACCTCCCAGAGCCCCCAGGAGCCCCCAGGAGGTCACCGACACTGTCCCCAGAGTTGTTGACGTCTCCTGCTGTCCCTTAGCTTTGCTGGTCAGCCCCCGCTCCTTCTCTTCCCTCCCCTCTCCTTCCTTCCCCGCCCCTTGCCTCCGGCGGGCGCGCGCGCGCGCCTGAAGGCGGGGTCGGGCGGCGCACACCCCTCCGCCGCGCGTCCGTCGCCTCCGCCTTCCGCCTTCCCTCCTGCTCCCTCCTCCCTCCTCCCTCCGCCCTGCCGCCCTGTCCGTCACTGCTTTTGGGGGCGCGTCCTGTCGCGGGCACCCGGGTGGTCTTTTTAGGGGGAAACAAACCTACCTCGCTTTTGACCACCCTCGCTTCCAAGAAATACCAAACGATGCCAAATTGCAGCCTGTACTGGTCAGGCCGCTTAACGAGGAGGCGCGTGGTATGGCTTGGTTTTGCCTGGAAGCGAAAGCGGTGTAGGTAATTCACGCTCTGATCTTTGGCCTTCCACCCGGGCGTCAACAAACACCTCCTGGAGGGACACACCCCCTTGCCATCTCTCTCGCGGACCTCCGGCCGACACGCCTGGCCCCGGTGGATACCAATTCTAAAGAGGAGTTGGTGCCGGGGCCGCGGATTCAATTCAGCCAGGAGGAGGAGGAGGAGGAGGAGGAGGAGGAGGAGGAGGAGGAGGAGGAGGAGGAGGAGGGGGGAAGGAGGGGGAGGAGGGGGGGAGAGGGGGGAGGAAAGCGACGAGGAAGAGACGGGGGAGGAGGGCAGGGGGAGGAGAAGGACTGGGCAGGAGGAGAGCAGCAGCAGCAGCAGCAGCAGCAGCAGCAGCAGCAGCAGCAGCAGCAGGGGCAGGGGCAGGGGCAGGGGCGAGGGGCAGGCGCGCCGCCGTCCCCAGCGAGGCGGCTCGCCAGGAGAGCCGCCCCGGCGCGCCCCGCCGGAAGGGGCTCGGAGTGCACGGCCGGAGGCCTGCATGTCGGGCGTGTCCCCCTACAGGGGGATTTTCGACGAAAAATTAAAAACACCCAACAAAATACCCCAAAAAGGCAAAAAGAAGAAAAAAAAATAAAATAGTCCCCAGACTATGTTTGGACTATTTTCTGACTATGTTTGGGATATTTTTTATTTTTCGTCGAAAATCCCCCTGCAGGGGGACAGGCCCGACTTATGGCCACGCAGGGCTCGGAAGGGGCGTGTCGGGCTGCTCGGGTCCTCGCTCCCAGAGGTCCGGACGCTCCGACAAAGAATGGAGCGGCCAGCTTTGGGGCCGTTTTCCGCCCCACGCGGGCCCTCGCCAGGCCTCGGGAGCGCCCAGCATCGGCTCGGAGCGAAGAGCCAGTCTCGGAGGAAGTGGCCCTGGCCTCCGGGGGCCTCCGCGTCGAAAACATTGGAGCGTCCCAACCGTCTGGGCTGCCGCGCTCCTCGTAGATCACGGGGCGACGGGAGCTGCGCATGGCTGCTCCGCCCCCTGCCAGGCCCATCCCGGGCCCAGGATCGGCGCACAGGAGGTCAAGGCGCAACCTGGGTCGCTCCGCTCCCCGTCAGGGGTCCTGGCGGCAAGACTTCGGCTGAGCGCCACCTCGGCCCAGGAGCTCAGTGCACTGA